GTAGCTACACTTATAGCATTGATAAGAATTTTACAGCAAATATTCATTTATTGCTAAGACAGGCCGCGTATTTTGTTTACTCACCATCATGTTCGAAGTTGAAAAAAAAAAAAAAAAAAAAAAAAAAAAACCGCAGCCTAGCTAACTAATGAATGAATATTTGATGTAAAATTCTATGCTATAAGTGTAGCTACCAGTTTGGCCGCCAATTTTGATTTCATACTTTTAAGTCCCCACTCCAGTGGCATGTCTGCGGACTTACAACATTAGAAACCGGTTTTCAATACCCATGATGGGCAGTGACAGATAGGACAGTGTTTAATTACAAAAAACAAAACAAATAAATCCTTTAAGTCGCATGCTCAATCTTTTTTGGCCGCACCTAAGGTGTTTTTGATTAGATTTATCAAACTTGCAAAGGATAAAGAAAAATCAAGGAACTGACAAAAATTGGGAGGGAGAAGAGGAGAACAAATGTAATTTGCGAAATTTGGACAAGGTTAAACTTGTCAATACATTTTGACATCCTGCATTCTATATGAAAGCCCATGCCTGTACGACCGAGTGTGTAAATTAATAATAACAAATTATAAGCATCAAGTTTTCAAAGAAGGGGGGGGGGGAAGAGATAAATTAATTCTTTAGACAAATAATAAAGTTGAAAGTCACTTGGCACGAATAATTTAATTATCATTTCAGGAGCTTTATGCTTCTGGGAAATGTTAAAATGTTTTATTATTAGTTAAATAAAGATGTCTTAAAGTTTTATGACTGAAAATTACGGGAATACCATCTTACCTAATGTGAAACACGTCTTGAAGTCTTTACTAGCGTTTATTGTTGTTGCTGCGGAAGAATATACCATCTCGTCTAATTGGAACATATCTTAGCGGCGTTATTAGCATATTTTATTACTTAAGATGATGAGACTAGTATCTAGTCTAATTGGAACATGTTTTAGTGGCGTTACTAGCGTACTTAAGATAATTGGACTAATATCTCGTCTAATTTGAACATGTCTTAGTGGCGTTACTAGCGTATTTTTATTACTTAAGATGATGGGACTAGTATCTCGTCTAATTGGAACATGTCTTAGTGGCGTTACTAGCGTATTTTTATTACTTAAGATGATAGGACTAATATCTCGTCTAATTGGAACATGTCTTAGTGGCGTTACTAGCGTATTTTTATTACTTAAGATGATAGGACTAGTATCTCGTCTAATTGGAACATGTCTTAGTGGCGTTACTAGCGTATTTTTATTACTTAAGATGATTGGACTAGTATCTCGTCTAATTTGAACATGTCTTAGTGGTGTTACTAGCGTATTTTTATTACTTAAGATGATTGGACTAGTATCTCGTCTAATTTGAACATGTCTTAGTGGCGTTACTAGCGTATTTTTATTACTTAAGATGATTGGACTAGTATCTCGTCTAATTGGAACATGTCTTAGTGGCGTTACTAGCGTATTTTTATTACTTAAGATGATGGGGCTAATATCTCGTCTAATTGGAACATGTCTTAGTGGCGCTACTAGCGTATTTTTATTACTTAAGATGATGGGACTAGTATCTCGTCTAATTGGAAAGTCTTTGTGGCGTTACTAGCGTATTTTTATCCCTTAAAGATGATGGGACTGCAAACTAGCTTTTTAAAAAAATATTATTATTCAAGAGGATTGCACTAATATCTCGTCTTGCGTTTTAACATAGGGAAAAGATATATTTAGAAAACTTTTGAACAGCTCTAGGGCCCGAAGAAATTTATCTTGTATATGTCTGTGGGTGAGTTTTTATGTTAAGATAATTCCAAAGTACATCATTTTATGATTATTATGCACACATATATCGCAGAATATTGTTGGAACAAAAAGTACAAGTGTAAAGGTACTGAGGAATTTTAACGTGCTAGAAAACTAGGGAATGAAAATAAACAATCGAGAATACATTATACAAGACTGGCAGAGAAAAAAATAAGACTAATGTGAAGTAAAAGTAAAAAAAAAACAGCTTCGTGTAGAGATGTTTTTCAAGAAGTTTTAATATCATTCACTGTAAAAATGCACAGAAAAATATCATTACACAGGAAAGGTGCAAGTTCACAGGAACGCTACCACCACAAAGTGAAAGTTTAAGAAAGACTGAAATTTCCAACAAAAGTTGTCATTATTTCACAACAACAAAGACAGAAGTAATAGGATTAGAAAAAAAAATCACAGTATATCAGCCATATCTGGACAGTTGACTTGACTGTCCTTCAAATGTGTTACACAATTATATTTTTTTCAGGAGAAAAACAAACAAATATAAATACAATACTGAATAGAGTGCAGCATCCGATAGTTTTTAGAACTTCATATTTATGTAATAAAATAAATGCACTTTCTTGGGTAAATTATCATTTGTAGATTGTGTTTTATGAAAAAAAAACAAACAAAAAAAACATTAGTCAAGAAAAGCACACAATATTTCATTTTACTATTATTAGTTCTGAATGACATACATTATTAATACTACTACTGGAAATGTACTATTACAGCCAGATCCTACATAAAAAAAAAAATTATATATATATATGTATGTACTTATGTGTGTTGTTACAGTTAGATCATAGCTAAAAACAGCTCAACCCAAATACAATGAGGTACTGTAAAAAATTTTCTTCATCCTTAACATTTACATTACAACATGATATGAAAAAAGCTCAGATCATCAGAGGTTCTGTGCTAACAAAGAGCACCTGTGAACATGAGAGGCACAGAAATATGACGGATAGTTACCCTGCCAAATGACCTCAACTCGTCATGTAAATTTATAATTTCATACTATCTAAAGACAAAACCTTTTGGCAGAGATTTTTCAAAAATAAGATTCCACAATCATCAAAAATTTTAAAACTTTTTTTTTTCATTTTGTGATCAATATAAGCTTTTAATATTTAAAAGGCACATTTCCAAAACAAATATTTTTTTTTACGAAACCTATAAGTGCCTAACATACCAATTAAAATTTACATGCATACAAATAATCCTGTTTTTATTGTCAGAAGTTCAAAAAAAAATGTTATGTGGGATATGTATGTCAAATAGGATAATCCAGCTGAGATTCAAGAACCACCTGTTATTTTGTGGGTGTAACAAATAATCTGTTTCAGTTAAGAATAAAATATAATTGAGTAAAAACAAACTTGATTTTTTAATATTTTTATAATGACAATATGAATTATTCCATTTTAAGTCATAACATTTCTAAGCTACAAAACTATATGATCATTACTGGAGATAGACCATCCACGCTCATAATCCCAATTATAAATAAATAAAAAAATTATAAAAGATTGTATTCATATCTTTGTAACCTTCTGGTCCCTTCTTACATAGTGAAATTACAAATCTGCTTTCCACAACACTACCTTCATGCATAGTGTTAACAACAAATTATATAATTTTCTTTCAAAAATCAAACAGTCTGATAACAATAAACTAACAAGTTCCTGTTTGTTTTTTTTATCACTAAGTTCATAATTGTCAAAAATGTTTAGAAAGTGAGAAAAACAGCAACAGTAGTTATAATTCTCCTTAAAGTATACAAGTTGGTTATAGAATGGACAACACATTGAAAACTTACAAAAGCCTTTTTTTTTCATTTGAAGCACAAAACAACCGAGCCACAAAAAAATCTATTTACTATCCTTCATAACAACAAACACATTACTTGGTTTCTTTCCCACATCATGTATTATAGAATGATAGCAGATGAATATATGCAAGAATAGATTTACAAACATGAAATTCTGCAACCACTACTACAAGTATTATATTGAATAAGCTTGCAAAAATACAATATATATAAAATGTCCATTGAAGACAACACAAGCACACACTACAGTAATCTTATATAGTAAAGAAGCGACTGTGATACGAAGATAGCTTATCAAAATGTAGTAACGACAGCACAATGAAAAACAGTTATTTCAAATGTTTTGTCATATAAAGGTCTTAATTGGTAAAACTTTCAAACTTTTTCTATTTCAGAAAGTTAAAATTCAAGTACTATATCTTCTGAGAAAATTAAATAGTTTAATTTGTAATAAACCATGTAATGATGATGGACTGCTAATTATAAAAACCAGTTAGTTAGATTAAATTAACTTAGAATACATTTTTCCAATTTCAACGAGGTATTCGTGCTGGTATGCTCATTTACTTTACAAAACCAGATCTTCAGATAACCTCCAACATCCTGGTTTACTCTCATTCCAGATTTTTTTCTTCTTCTTCTCTTTCAAGCTTCCTTGTATCACAGTGATGATATTAACAATATCCTTTCCAGCAATTTGGACAGCAAGCTGGTCAGTCAATCTTTTTATCTATTTTGTTCTAAAAACCTCAAACTCCAATTTAGATTGTCGACTTGGAAAAGGACACTCTTAAGTGGTTGGATTCACTGAGTTGGTGGTTGTGCATTTTCTGAGATAAGAAAAAAATCAAAACAGCTTAATTTTAAATAATAAACTCCTAATACTAAATTCTTAAGAACAAGTTTAGGCAGTAAAGCATCATTTTCACAGTTTTAAAATCTCACAAAATGTTTTAAGACAAACAGCAGCACTGAACCACTTTTTATAGCAATGGTACTGAAAGCTATTTAACAAAACTCTAAACCCTGTATATGATGGAAGCTGTGCATATGGTTGTTATTATTGTGTTAAAATACATTAATAAAATCAGCAGGTATGCAGCATTCCTGTACTTGAAGCTAGGGTTTGCTTTCACACACCCAGTAGTTCCTGCACCTTTGAAAGCAAATTTTTATTTAATTTAGCACTTCTCTCCAAAGAATTCTAAATTATTTGCAGTAAAATAAAGGCAAAATTACAACCTACTTTATTTCTGAACAAATTAAAAAATATACATACTGAAGTAAAACAAAATGCTGTGTTAGCAATAGAGATACGAAGTTGCAATGAAAATAAAACAAAACAATCTCTGCCATCACAGAGATCACACATTTAAGAAAAAAAAAATTTGCTTAATTTTAACCATTATTTATCTCTTGTTTACACTGAAATGAGACTTACTATCAATGCAGTGACAGCTTCTTCTACTGATCTCATCTGGATGAGAGCCATCTTGGGGTCTTTACTGTAATATTAAATGAGAATTTCAGCTTTCATAAAGTGCAGAATTATTAAACAATTATACGTAAAACCTGTTTCAGGGTTACGAATGTTCCTCAGCTGCTTATTTAACGTTAAATAAAAGGAAAGAGAAAAATGCAGTACAGTAAATTTTTATTTCTTAACTAATTTTGTTTTTTAAAATTTCACAAACAGTAAGGGAATGAGGGAAACATTTTACTCATTTGCTTTGTAAATTGATTTACAAGTTATAGCATATAACAGTGATAGAAACAAACAGTTGGACCACATTCATTAATACAAATGTGTAACAAATGACAAAACAATCATCCAAAATTTATTAACACAACAGTTATAACCCGAGGTTTCAAATGTGACTTACAAATTCTGGACTTTTCGAGCACCCTAAGTTTTCAAATATGTACATTTAAACACCTCAAACAATACACTACATGAGACAAGCCTACTCATAAAGGGTATAACAACCAGAAATATGATTTTAATGTTAATTTTTTTTCCCCATACAAATCAACTCCATTTTACTTTAATTCAAACATTTATGATGAAAAAATGGCCAAAGTGTACTTACGGGAAAAACTTGAAGGCTACAACATTACCTCCCGTTTTATTTGTAAAGGCATCCTTGATCTCCTCTTCAGTAATATTAGGCCTTTAAACAAAACATATTTTTCATGAAATTATTATTATTACACAACAAAAAAATTTAAGAGTCCTTTATAACCAAAGTATATTATATTCTAAAATAAAATACAGTTGTTCAAAGTTAATTAGTCTTATTTCTGTGTGAGAAGTATTTTCTATTATACATTAATATATCAGTTATATTTGTAACTATTGGTAAGGAATGAAAGTTCTCACCAGTCACATGTTTAGTGTTTGAGTTGTCATTTACTTACCACAAGAAACATTTAAACAAGTATCTGAACAACACAGAGTATTTATGGTACTAATATGTTTCTTATCCAAGTGTGTTGAATGGACAGATTATTCACAAGTAGCATGAGATTGCACACTTTTCTTCAGAACTTACTGAATACTCTTTAAACTTAATTGCTTAAATGTACACTTCTCCATAACTGTTTCAAATCCCTTACATAACCAATAAAGGGGTAGGTATTTTGGTTTTATTTCTGTTTAAGTGACCACAGTGAATTATGATGATAAGTTGTTTATTTATTAGAACCATTAAGTAGTGCATAAAAACTATTTGTCAGTACAAACATTTTTTAATTCTATAACGAATCAAGTAAGCAAATAAAGTATTTTAAAAATCAGTTGCCTATGGATGTTGTGGAGGCAGTAAATTTAAGATAGTTTAAGAGAAATCTTGATAAGTACATGAATGATAAGGGCTGGCTTTAAGATTTAAAAAAAAATATCTATTAATAGTTTTAGTTTAGAGGATGGAACAACTGAGATGGACCAATAGGTCCAATGTTGTCCACATTATGTCATGTTAATGTATTGTTATACTTAATGATATCATTCACAAACTATGATTCCACAGTAAGTCTAATAAACAAAAAATATATATTGTTATAAGCTATAGCTTTAATCTTGCAATTTGTTTGCTAGATGAAGGTGTTGACTATTACGATCTAGAGATTTTTAAAATATCAAGAACAAGGATTAATTATGAATAAGAGAATCAGCTAGAGAGTATTAAGGAGTCAGTTTAGTTCAGTGAAGTATTTAGCTCATTGCTAATGATCACATATATTCAGTTATTCAATAAATTAACTGTGAAATTCCACAATTAAGCTTATTTTTACTTTAGTTCCTGAATCATTAGTGATGTATTTCCATTTCAATGTCATTTGTATACTTGGGTCTGCAAGCACTGGTGTATCCAGGAATTTGAAAGGGGGGGCAAGTCTTAACATTCATATTTGCATATAATTTCTATCTATAATATTTAAACTTTATTATTTCCTTTACATTGGATAAATGAGTGTTATAACATGTCACTTTACTCATGTCTTTCAGCTACCAAGAATCGTGACTACGCTAAAGAACATAAAAATGCAAAAATTTATATAGTGAAATTAGGAATTGCAGGGAAAAACTGGTGAAAAATAAAAAATACAAGCCCCCCCAGCTACTCCAGTGCCTGCAAGTTACTACCATGTACTAGTGAAGGCAGTTTGTAGAAAAGTTAAGGAAGAAATAAACTAATTTGTTATTCTTATATCAACTAGAATTTGAATTATTTTTACCAAATAATTCCAAAGAATGATATTAAATAAATAAATGTTATCATAACTCCCATATAAGTAACTGGTAGTATAGTATACACATGATACAAGAGCTAATTTCCAATGAACAAGAAGACAAAAGTACCTACGGTATATTGGACAAGTGGAGAGTGGCAGTGGGAGGGTAGATGTTCTGGTAGTTTTTCGACCCTGGCTTTTTGAAACGATGAAGAGGGGAACTAGTAAAATCTTTGGTCAATCCAGCATCCTGGTACACAGAGGACAAAATATGGTTAAACTACTATCTTCTATGTAGGAAGTCATTAAGACAGATTTACACTAATCCAACCAAACCTCAATTTTTTTTGTACATTACAGCTATCAAGACAAACTTACAATGTAATGTTGTGTATGCATAATTATGTGTTCAAACTTACCACTCAATCACCTAATGTTTCCATTTACTCAACTCCAGTTTGTAAGTCTTTCTTCGCTGAATGTAGATGGAGTTGGTCCACTGGATCAACCGCATATTGGATTAGGAATACTGACTATAATTTCGATTTTATTATGTGAATCTACATGAAATGTGACTAACATTTAGTAAAATATACAAGTCTGTTGAACACAAAACATCAGAAGAGTTACAAAGGTATTTGTACTCAAGATGTGTCTGTGAATTGATGACGTCGGCCTGACAGGTTGGAATACAAGGGTCCACTGGTGGGACAGTAAGTATATGGACTTACAATGCTAAAATCTGGGGTTTGATTCCCTGCAGTGGACACAGCAGAAAAACCCAGTGTGGCTTTGCTCTAAAAATAGACAAGGAGTGCAAGGTGATGTTCATATGAAGAATAAAAATACTTTTGTCCATTGTACGGTGTGCATATTGTATTTGCATAACCTCTAAAACCTACGAAATGCATATCTACAGTATTTCAGTATCCCTGTACACTGTATCTTGTATTTACTCTACAACAAACTGTTGCTAAATCAGCAATATAGAGTAGAATGAATAACTGATAACTCTGACATCATATACATAATATCATGTTGAATGGCACTCTGTAAAAGGTCATGTGCACTTTGACCTCTACTTGTGTACATAGGGATAATGTGTATATATTTAGGATTAATTCACAATGAAATGCTTTGAATCTTGAAGAAACTGGTGCTGCTGTTATTCTAGGTAAGCATAAAATTTCTACTTAAGTCATATCACAAGTATGTAATTTCATATAGTGTGAAACATTAGACATGACTTAAGAATCCCTAAAATTTTAAAAATTCACTGCAAACCAAACTTTTTACATACTACAATGAAGATGATACCAACTCTTGAGTTTTTGAGTTAGGTACCAATATAATAGTAATACTTGGTCTTAGAAACTTACCCATTTTATATAGTATTTTGTTACTTTTTCAGATTATACTTCTCAGCTGATTCATCCATATAAAGTGAAAAAAACAATAAAAAGAAAGAAACAAACAAACTACATCCAGTATTTATGTATAACTATTTACCAAAAAGATGCACAATACTGTACATCATTAAACTACTAGCTAAAGTCTGAAAACAGAATACCTGAGGCACAGTTACATGTATTTTTTTGTGATGTATAAAGCTGAAGATTACAATTAACGAAACACTATTATATGTTTGTACCCAGCTTCTGAATATTATTAGATAAAAATGAACCTTAAAAGTAATAGCTGTGCTTGCTATAAAATCTAATCTTAGTCTTACAAAAGAAAAAAAAAGACTTAATGTCTTACTGGCTGCCCTTCCTTTGGCATCTGGACAACCTGATGTTTTGATGGTGTTACTCTGATCTGCTTTCCAAATACTATAATTTTGTCCAGGTGTGTCATTGCTAGAAAGAAAAAGGAGATCTCAGAGAACATGACAAAAATTCTGCATCTAAGGAAATTAAAGTTAACCCAAAGCAAACATAAATTTTACATAAAAATTACATTTTAAAACAAAGTGTATGTTACAATGACCAGCAAATTACTTCAAGCAACAAGCTTCCCCTAGGGAGATCAACTTTTTTTAACCACGTAGTAAATAAACATCTTTACTGGTTATTAACCATCTAAAACAAGAGCTGGTAGAATTTTAAACTTGTTTCTGAAATAAGTATCAGCTCATACAACATATATTGAAAATATTTGAGCCAAGATATCAAAGTATTATGGACCAACTGTTCAGAAAAATTGGGCAAGTGATGACATTTTAATTCACTTAATGAAGATCCATGAAAATGAATCAAGACATCATCGTTCATCGAAGCTTTCCAGGCAGGTGGTCCATAATATTCATCATTAACTAAACTCCACCCGTTGACAAAACAAATCCCTTACCTAATTGTGCCTGTTGGGGCTCTGCTAACTGTATCAAAGCATTGTCCTTTTTACTAAACAGAATTTTGACCCGTATGACATCACCATAGACTCCTACAAAGACCAGGAAATGAGATCTAAATCTTGAACTATTGTAATATGATCAATTTCAAAACTCCTTATCTTAATGAATACGACAAACTTTTCATAAAAAATTTTTTTGAACCTGTTAATCTAAAACAGCTATATATTCCTTATAAAAATAAACAGAAATTCACTACACAATATTGTACATAAAACAATCTTTACATAGATTCCTTTTTAACTAGTGTGCAATTCCAACATTTTGCCCAATAAGAGAAATCAGGAACAATTAATGAAGGCTATAAGGTAAATTCAAATAGAGAATAACCCTGTGGTAATAGTTTTGAACTGAACTGTGATGGACAGTTAAAACAATTCTGGTGATAATATGTCCAAAAACTTCTGGGCTAGTAATACAACATTAATGTAAGTTTTGCTATAAAAACAGATGAAACTAATAAACATACAATATGAAAACCTTGAAGATATTAGGGGTTCTAAAACATTATTTTTTAAAGAAACAAAAACTTAAACTTATTAGAGCATAATTACTACATTTTCTAATCAGTTCATTAAGATTTTAAAGTATAAAAACTGATCTAATGTGGCAAGGTCTATACCTTAAAGAAGAAATAAGAAGAAAAAGTATTTTTTGAAGAAAAATATTGAAAAGCTGTTGCGTGTAACGTATTCTGTTGACGTTTTTTCTAGTCCAAAGTGGCATTAATTTTGTAGCTGGTTGAAGACAAATGTTGACAGAAAACAGGAAAAAAAAAAACATACCAAAAAGGATAAAGAGAGCATCAGGCGTGACCATCTATAATCAGAGCAGGTGGGTGGATCAGAGTGGAAGCAATCAATATTCCAAGTGAATGAACAAACAAATCCACATGGGCAGGTCAAGTATGGAAGAAAACATATCAAAGATAAAAATTACTTAGTGAAATGTCCGGAAGCTTATATTTTGTCTTTTGCAAAGACTCCCAATATGGAGTAGCTAAACATAAGTTAGAAAGAGGTACAGGTAACAAATCTTGTAAAAAAAAAGCTTGCTCTTTGAAGAATTGGGTTTTAACTAAAAAGTTTATACATGCCATAAGAGAAGGAAATTTAAAAAAAAATTTCTGTCAAACATGATCTTCATAAAAAAAAACTGAGGTAATTCATATAAAAAAATGACAAAGAATATGTATAACATAAAATGCAAACACATAACAAAAATACTTAATAGTGAAAATAAATCTAAAAATATGTTATTGTTAACTCACTTTGGATTATACTCATAAAATGAAAAACAATATTGTGATGTTCATAAACTTCTATTTGCTTTATCAGACTAATGAAAACATTCTTAACCCACAAATGATCTTACTAAGCCTAGTGTTATTTAGAAAACAAAACCACGTGAAATATTTCTTAGTAGTGTTCTATGGCAACTAAAAAGGCTAACTGTTAAAAGTGTAGACTATTTTTATCAGCTATGTCTATAAATGTTGTACAAGATCACTGTATGTGTTTTGTTAGCCACATTGAGCTATCTGCTGTGTCCACTGAAGGGAATCAAACCCCTGATTTTAGAATTGTAAATCTGAAGAATTACTGCTGTCCCACCGGGGGACCCACAAGATCACTGTTGGTAATATCTCCAGATAAACAAATACTACAATGGAGCTAGTGATTTTTACCTTCAGAATTGTAATATTAGGGTCTAAGAGCTCTACCTACACTATGAGAAGCAATATTCTTTGCCCAGTTAAGAAAACTAGAAAACATGTTATCAATGATAACACACTACACATATCAGGTAAAAAAACAAAAGTATGAACAAGTTGCTTATGTTTTAGATATTGAAACATTAATTTTAAGTCTATTATTTAAATTAACAAACTGTTTCACTTAGACAAATTATTGGGATCTTATGATCTTTCCTCGTTTCATTTGTTTTAAATTTTGTATAAAACTAATGAGGGCTATCTTAGCTGTTATATAGTAGAGGGAAGGCAACTAGTCAACACCACCACATCTTCAACTCTTGGGCTATTTGGGTTACAATACAGCATTGCCAATTTTGTATTGTTGATATTATTCAGCTGATAACCTTTAATACATCAGTTTTTGTAGTACTGAACTAAATAGAACATGGTTAGAGCCCCCACACTGTTGGCACCCCACTTTTGCAGTCCTTTTGTGCTTACAAACTAAACTGACTTTGATCAGAGCATTTCAAGATAAGGAATACACTTTTCATTATATGTGATGTTATTAAGTGAGTAATAAATATATATTATATAATCCATTTTATGTTCAGGTAGTTCTTGGCTTACAATTAGAACTACAAATAAAAAAAAGTTTCTAAGTTAGTTGAAGTACCAGTAGAAAGCAAATGATTGGGAAGGTTAAGAATAATCTGATTGAATTGCAAGATTAATGAAACAGAAAAATATAAAAGTTAGTAATTGAATGGCTTTAACTTGTCAGTTAGTAGATGCTTTTAAAATGTATTCAACCATAATCCCAGTAATATCTCACAAAATTTACCTTAGCTAGGTGATTTATGTTAGGCCTACATCGTTGTACAACAAGTATTTTCAAGAAAGAATTTCTTTTTTTTAATTTAACCTTTTCTCACTACAGTAAAATTACACAGTACCTTCCACAATGTACATACAGACTTTTGTATATGAAGACAATTAGTTAGTACCACATGTGCTTGAAACAAACAAACTTAATGAATAAGTTATTAAAAATTCAGGATGACATAAAAAGCCCAATCATACATTACCTGTTCATTAAGGTTGCTGACAAGAAGGACACAACCTAACATTGGCTGACCTGGTAGCCGAAGTCCAGAGAGCCCCAGTGCTGTGGCTGATGTGGCAGTAGGTGGCAGTGCAAATCCACCCAAAGCGAGAGCTGAAAACATGTTCACATCTTAGTTGTTGTTTTTTTTAAAGATACCAATTAAAAATAATGAACAAGTATAGAAAAACAAGCACTTAAAGAAATGCCTTGAAGAAATTTTAACCAAAAGTATAATAATAAGGACAAATGAAAATTAATTATACAATATACAAGAAGCCTGATGTTTATTTTGGATTGCAAGACAAAGGTCTTTGAATTATTTTTACAAAGGAAAGTAATGCATAAGCTACTGTAAAAGCTAACACTTGATTAAAAATATGTTAAAAACTTAGTAAAACAAAAGGTTTGTTAATGTTAAACTAAGTATAAATATTGTACTATTTTAGATATATAGGAACTATTATACTAACCATGCAGCATTCTATTCAAAGAAAATTATTTAGCTTCTAAAGCTACGACAATAAACCTACCTCCTGCAGCATAAGCAGCAGCTAAAGGAGATCCAAGACCTGGCACTGGACCAAATGGAGAGGCCAGAATTCCCATAGAACCTAAGTTACCTACATTAAAATAAGATAGCTGTACGAGTGTTGTTTCCTAGAAAATGTGAAGTGATCCTCAGAATATACAAGTATATTATAAAAATTTTAATCAATATTTGAAATAATTTACTATAATTATTGTTTCATTCATAACCTACTAAACAGTTCAGCTATTTCTGTAAGTAGCTGCCAATTCTCCACAGTTTATAGAAATGATATCAGATGCTTAATTAGATGAATGAATGTTCAGTTTATAGTGCCATTTCAGAATGTTTGACAACAAAGACGAAACACAACAACAGAACTTGAACTTGTATAAAGTTATCTCTGAACAATTCAATGACTTAGACCCTGTTTTACCTCTAATGTTAACTTCTGGAATTAGATGTAGCAAATGCCTATGGTTCAGTACCCCATAGAGTGACTGATTTGGTATGGAACATTTTTGGGTACTTGGTAAATTTTGAGAAATTGTGTCCCATTACTATCACAAACTCTTGATGAATTTATCACTTGGCAATCCACCACCAATTAACGACCATTGGAAATAGACATACCCATGGGATGTGCAATTTCACCATTTTTTGTTTTGGCTATGTAGGTGGTGTTCAAAGGGACAAACTAACTTAATTCCAGGATACTAAATGAGGTAAATCACGAACTACTATCAATAAGGGCATTCAAGGATGATATCACTATCAGGTCTCTACGTAAGACAGAGGTTGATGCAATTTTGACAAGACTTGATGAGCTGATAAGATAGTGTCAAGTGAAATTTAAGCTTAAGAAAATTGGAAACTTGGACATTAGGAAGGTGGTGCTCAGTGGTGGTATTCATTTGCTACTGGTGTTGGCCACGGGTGCTGTACTGGAATAGGCCTTGAAACAGTGACATCCATAGTTTCCAGCTGATGACCTGATCATTGGGCAGTGGTTGAGACCACTATATGTTCTGTCCCACAACAATGACTCAAGATCCTTCACACAACTAAAGTTCTGGCACAAAAAAAAACAATTGATATTTTAACACAGACCCTTCCTATGATCTTGTAGTTATGGCATAACATAATACTAAAGGACAACAGGGGACCTTTTGGTTCATCTAGGCTGTCCCATCCAATAAATTAAACACTAAAAAATTCAAAGCCCACCCTTGTTATTCGAATATTTATCAAGCTTTCCCTTAAATTAACTGTATCTACCAAATCTGAAGGCAACACATTCCAAAAGCCAAACACCCTGTTAGAAATATAAAGCTGTATTAGCTGAAAATTATTCCTACCCTACTAATATTTATATTTGTGTCCCCTAGTCTTTCCATTTTCACCATTAAATATGACAAAATATGATGCATCAACACTATCAATTTTTCTTAACAATCTTAAATACCTCAATCAGATCCCCTCTAACTTTTTTTTTCCAAGGTAAAATAAGTTCTGAGATCTTAACCTATCCTCATATGACAACAACCTTTTCATCCCCAATATCATTCCAATTTCAAACAATTCAGTGCTTTTTTCTAAGAAATGGATCCCAAGACTGGCCACAGTACTCCAAATGTAGCCTAACCAATGACCTCTACAATGACATTATAACCTCGTTAGACTTGCATCAAATACATCTGTAGATACAACCTAAAACATTGCAGGAGAAATTAATTTCATAAAATTGTTAAATGTTTTTTTGTAACATTTTCATTTAAATAGATAGCTAGGAATAATATAAAATCACTCTCACATATTTAAGTCATACATATTTCTGTCATTAGGAAGAGTCTGAACCAAAAATTTCAGTGAACTCAAACATAGTTACAAATAAGAAAAAACAACAACTTTACCTTAGCCACTGATCTTAAACATTTGTGCCTACCTAAAACTAGTTTGTCAAAAAAAAAGGAATTTCCCTTTTATGTGGCTTTGACTTTTGGGAAATTCTTGGCAAGTATTTAACATACACTGGAATAAAAACCTATAATTTAACCAAAGGAAACAAGTTATCTAATGCTTTAATCTTTATGTTGCCTTGAGTATTAAACTACTGAACAGCCAGACCTGACTTCATCTCACAATCACAAATGAAACAGGCTTTTTGGTCACCTTGACATTTATAATTATCAAAATTTTTAGGCATAAGTAGCTAGAAGCATGATTAATCTCTAATCTACAGTAATTCACCTACAAATAAACACATATGTAGAGGCCATCCACTGCTATATAATTTATCTTTATGTTTATTATTTCTCGTTTTCAGTTAGTAGTTTATTCCGATAACCAAAATTACCACATGTTGGGTAAAATGGTATAAGCTTAGAAATATGTAATAACTAAGAAGAAGAAAAGCAAATGGCTGACCTTAATTTCTGTTAGTGTCCAGTGTCTATGTATCATTATTTCAAGGTGCGAGAACATTCATTTTATATGTATATATGTGTGTGCAAAAGTTTACTACACAAAATAACCATTCAGAAGAAAAAAAGCAAATGTGTCCCTTAAAGATAATGCAGAAAAATCTCTTAAAATACTGAGGAACATTGTAGGAGAAATCAATAACATGCAATTGTTAAGTGTTTTTAGTAACTTGTCCATTTCAAAGAGCATAGCTAGGAATAACAAGTAGGAAATGAACTCACTCCAACTTGGGTTTTTGTACACATTTCAGTATCACACATGTATATAACCAATGGCATATTTAGGGGGGGGGGGGAGTATACCATTTGTTTTAAATATTTGACAACCTTAATTAAAGGCAATTTTATTTATATTACGATTATATAACTTACTTCAGCAGTAGTCAAAATGCATGCAAATACAAACAGAAAATAAATGTTTTTTTCTTGTCTGTATAAGAATAGGCAATCATTGTAATGATTTTGACTCTGTTTTACCTTGCATGTTAACTTATGAGATTCCTTTGAATTTTATGGACAACTATAATTCAAGATCCTCCAAACAGCTAAGTGTAGCAGTCCAATTCTAGTACACGGGTCTGCGATGATTTTATTGTCTTGAAATTTTTACAAGTTCTACAGTAATTCCTGTATGTTGAATCCAAAAACGACATCCATTTTTCTTCATCATGTACAGATTTTTCACAAAACGTCATAATGCAATACATAAAGAAAAACCACAACATGTAGTTTTGAGACTAAA